CAAGAAGAGCAAGCCGAAACCAGCGGAAGAGGAGGAGGACCAGGAAGAGGAAGAGCCAGAGGAGCCAAAGAGAGGAACCAAGAAGACCCCCAAGACCAGTGCTGGCAAGAAGAGCAAGCCAAAGGCAGAGGAAGAGGAGGAGGACCAGGAAGAGGAGGAACCAGAGGAGCCAAAGAGAGGAGCCAAGAAGAACCCCAAGACCAGTTCGCGCAAGAAGAGCTTGCCACAGGCAGAGGAAGAGGAGGAGGACCACGAAGAGGAGGAACCAGAGGAGCCAAAGAGAGGAGCCGAGAAGAACCCCAAGACCAGTTGTGGCGAGAAGAGCAAGCCAAAGGCAGAGGAAGAGGAGGATCACCAGGAAGAGGATGAGCCAGAGGATCCAGAGACCCCCAAGACCAGAGGACGCAAGGAGGAGAAGCAGCATGTGCCAAAGCGACCGATGAGAGAAGCCAAGAAGATCAACCCAAGCAGCAAGAAGCCCAGCCCAAAGCCAGATGAAGAAGAGGAGGATGAATCGGCAGATGAGGAAGAGGATGAGCAAGAGGTCCCAAAGAAAGGAGCCAGGAGACTGCACCCGAGCACCGGTGCCAGGAAGAGGCCAGCAGCTGAGGATGAGGAGAAAAACGATGAAGAGGATTCGCCAGAGGTCCCCCAAAAAGGAGCCAAGAAGAACTTGTCCAGCCCAGTGAGCAAGAAAAAGGCAAAGACAGAAGAAGAGAAGGATGAGGAAGAGGAGGAGAAGCTTCAGGTGGAGAAGCCAAAGGGAGGAGCCAAGAAGACGCCCAAGACCAGTTCTGGCAAGAAGAGCTTGCCACAGGCAGAGGAAGAGGAGGACCAGGAAAAGGAGGAGCCAGAGGAGCCAAAGAGAGGAACCAAGAAGAACCCCAAGACCAGTTCGCGCAAGAAGAGCTTGCCACAGGCAGAGGAAGAGGAGGAGGACCACGAAGAGGAGGAGCCAGAGGAGCCAAAGAGAGGAGCCGAGAAGAACCCCAAGACCAGTTGTGGCAAGAAGAGCAACCCAAAGGCAGAGGAAGAGGAGGAGCCAGAGGAGCCAAAGCAAAAATCCAAGAGGACCCCCAAGACCAGTGATTGCAAGAAGAGCAGGCCGAAGCCAGAGGAAGAGGAGGAGGACCAGGAAGAGGAGGAGCCAGAGGAGCCAAAGAGAGGAACCAAGAAGACCCCCAAGACCAGTGCTGGCAAGAAGAGCAAGCCAAAGGCAGAGGAAGAGGAGGAGGACCAGGAAGAGGAGGAACCAGAGGAGCCAAAGAGAGGAGCCAAGAAGACCCCACAGACCAGTGCTGGCAAGAAGAGCGAAGAGGAGGAGCCACAGGAGCCAAAGAGAGGAACCAAGAAGAACCCCAGGACCAGGTATGCCAAGAAGAGCAAGCCAAAGACAGAGGAAAAGGATGATCACCAGGAAGAGGATGAGCCAGAGGATCCAAAGACCCCCGAGACCAGAGGATGCAAGGAGCAGGATGTGCCAAAGGGACCGATGAGACGAGCCAAGAAGATCAACCCAAGCAGCAAGAAGCCCAGCCCAAAGCCACATGAAGAAGAGGAGGATGAACCGACAGACGAGGAAGAGGATGAGCAAGAGGTCCCAAAGAAAGGAGCCAGGAGACTGCACCCGAGCACCGGTGCCAGGAAGAGGCCAGCAGCTGAGGATGAGGAGAAAGACGATGAAGAGGATTCGCCAGAGGTCCCAAAGAGAGGAGCCAAGAAGAACAAGTCGAGCCCAGTGAACAAGAAGAAGGCAAAGATAGAAGAAGAGGAGGATGAGGAAGAGGATGGTCCCACGATCGAGCCAAGTGAGTCTCCAGACATGCAGGAGTCCGAGGAGGATACAGAGCTGAAATCCCCGCCCAAGCCGAAGGCAAGTGCCAAAGGCAAAGCCAAGGCAAAAGCCAAATCTCAAGCCAAAGCTAAAGCCAAAGCTAAAGCAAAGTCCAAGAGTTCTGCTGCACCCAAGAAAAGGGTCGGCCGCCCACCCAAGGCAAACAACGATGATAAAGAAAACGGTGCCAAGACGATGATCTTTGCAAGGAGGAAGAAGCCAGAAACGAGCCCAGCTTGTTTGCGATTTCAGGCTATTGTCAGCGTTTTCCGGTCGGATATCGTGCCGAAGCTTGTGGATGCTGAGCTTCCAGTGTCTTGCTGGGAGGTAGGTGTGCTGAAAACACACATGTAACACACATGCAAGATTTCATGAAGCCTGTGCTGTCAAGTCTACTGTGCCTTTCAGGAGCCCTGGCTGAATCTAGCCAACCGTGTCTTCCAAAACGATGATGACTTCGGGGACGACCTCAGGACCCTGGAGTGCTATGAGGCTCAGCTTTTCCCCAAGGTCAACCGATTCCTGAAGATGGCTCTGGAAGAGCTCTAAATGTGTTCCGTGGCCCGACGGAAAGGTTGCTAGTGCTGAGAGCGGGCACCTGCATTTTGCAGCTACGATGATGTGTTTGAAGCAAGACGTGCATGTGAGCATGCGCGCGTTTTGGGGAGGAGGGGGCAAAGCATGTGCTAACACGTGCTGCCACGGGTAGCCCTGCATGTGTAACTCATGCAGATCGACAGATCGTGGGGCGACTTTTGTGTCTCCGGCTGTGTGTCTAGATGCTTTCAACCTCGACGCTGCTGGAGTGAAGAAACGAATCTAGCTCATGCTGAGTGACTGCACTGCTAGCCTCGAAACCATGCATAGGCTTCTGAAGAGCAGAGCTGGTCTATGTTGGCACATGGTATGAACTCCAGAAGCCCTCAACAAAGTGGCCTGTCGCATGAAGGCTCTGGCCACATGCCCCGCGACAGCATCAATCTCTGGAAGTATGGTACCGGGCCGAGTGCCCCACGTCGTGCACCTTTGGAGTTGCTCGTGGGGTTCTGGGCTTTCTAAGCTTGTCCTTATCGATTTCGAGATCTTAATCGGAGGGGTTCTTAATTTGTGTCGTTCAGCTGACTTAGATAGATAATGGGCTGTACTTGAGACATGCAGGTATCTTCATTGCAGGGATTGTTTCTGTACTTCAGCCGATAACAAAATTAAATTGGGCTAACCAATTGAAACAGTTGCAGATTACACATGTTAGTAGGACAGGGTACTTGGAAACTAGTAGCTCCGAACGGTTTGTTATGACTTGCAGAAATGTCCGTATTATATAGGGGTCTATGTATGTACATGTGTTTATACATATACATGTACATATGTAGTTCTTGCACCACCTTATAATTAATGTAAATAGATGGTGCTGTTCTATGGGTCTAGATAAATTAAATGCCCATGTACAGTAAGCAAGCCACCACACTGTGCAGGGGGATGTGCAGCGGTCACTTGACTAGCCAGGGCCTTCGCGAGGATCGGTGACAGTAGGAATGCTTTATAACAAGTAAGCTAGCATGTGGCTGGGTCGAGAGGTCGGGGTCCTTATACGAGTCGTGCAAGGTTACTTTCTGGGAGCTTGGGGTAACAAATCTCCGGGGACCTTTACGTTGGCGCTTCTCACTGCAGCTCAGACTTCGGAACCTGGTAACGCCTTCTTACAATCCCCATAATTCCACCAAAAGAGAACAAAAACCTGCTTGTGCATATGCAAGTATACATTCCTGAAACCCGGCATGCTGCTATGCTGCCTGTATCTGACTACCATTATAAGACTACCCAAACAAAGCCCAAACCTTTCTCTGAAGCCAAGCGCAACGTACTGGGATTTGCCTTGTAAGGGGCTCCGTAGAAACCACAGCATAATCGGAATTACTTGCCCGTGATTGCCAAAAGTGCCTATGTACTTGTTCCGTATATGCTTATATAACATTAAGTAGGAACTTCTTTGTTCTACACGGGTCACGGATTTGCGTCCTACCTCCTATGTGCTACATTTAATTTTAATTTGTGTAGACATGTCCCTCAGTTATCATAGACGACCCTCCAAAAAGCCCTCCAATAAGACCCCTTTCATAATGTCTCAACCAAACAGTCCTGCAACACATCCTTATTAAGGCCCATATTTAGTGTGTATATAAAGCCTATACCATATATAAGCCCTATATATATAAACATATAAGCCCTCTATAGAACCTGTAAAAGATATTTCAAGATGTAGATATAAGCCTAATACCCGAAAGTGTTGCTCAATCCCAGGCTGATTATGGCTGATTGACGTATGGAGTGCTTCGAAACTTGTGTTTCGATGTCTAAAGCCAATCCTCACTGGCAGTACACCTGCTGTGTTCCAGCTGATATGAACATGCTGTCTTGACTACGGTACATCTGAACATGGATGGCCATGACATGCATGAGTTTGTCTCACAAAAACATCTAGAAATCCGTACAAAGTACTGTGCAAGTAAGTGAATGTCTCCTACACATGCAAATCGACTTGCTGCTAGAAGCCCGAGAGCAACCTTCCAAAGCTCGACAGTGCAGCCATGTCCCCGGAAGATTTCGATATCTTTCTTCGTCGCTTGTTCTTCTTGGGAGCACCGAAGGTTGCCTGGCATGGTGTGATTCATCTTCGCGGCTGTTTCTCTGTAAATGTATGTAGGAGAAAAGTTGGGAGGTCTCATCCAGCAGTGGTTCCGTCCTGCTTACACTGACACCAGTCAGAGTACATCGAGATGTCAGTCCGAACACGTACTGGCTATGTTCTTCATGGGAACGCATATAAGTGGCTCCTCTTCTGGATGTCATAAATTAAATTACAGGTTCTTTCTAGTTACCCAGGCCCATGCAAAGTTCTAGACAAACCCGATCGATCTGCATGTCCTGCTCATATGACTATTTAGATCCATATATAGAGTGCTTTTGTCGACCAATATAACCTGTGCACCTCTATATGCTCATCTAGTTGGAAAGCTAGTTTGCTCTGTATATCTCCGTTCGTGTGCCTATATACTCCCCCTTCTTAGCCCTCATATTACATCGCACAAACACTGCCCTGTCTGGCTCACTGTCTGTCTCACTTTGTAGATGTCGTATTTCCGTTGTCAGTCTCTCCACGAGCAAGGTGATCATCTTCTTGGTTTTGCTCGTATGGTGGCTGGAGATTTCCCCTGACACCGGGCTCGAGTTCCTGGACTACTTTTCCGGAAAGGCTCGCTTGTCTCTGATGGCTGAAGGGGCTGGTTATCGAGTACAAGCTTACGACAAGACTTATGGTGATGAGCGTGCCAAGAAAAACAAGAAAAGATCGGCCATGGATCTCAATTCAAACGCAGGAATGGTGATACTCGCTCTGCCTACTCTGTATTGTGTACTCTTGCTTCTACATCACAAATAGGCTTGTAGATTTGCAAAGTTAACACGTTTTGGTTCTCAGCTCAGGATGGCCATCTCGTTGATTTTGCGGTCCAAACTGGACAATGTCGTGGCGGCCCTGGGTGTGGTATGCTCAACCTGGGTGCCGGTTAACAGAGGCACGTCGAAGCGCTGCTACCTGTGCCCACACGGGGATGAGTCAGTGGTCAGTGTTCGCAAAGCCAACAAGCTTATGGCCAGGAGAGATGGATATGTAGCACTTGTACTTAAAAGAGCACTTTAGGATGTTCTTGGGCAATCTAGTGAGGAAAACTCCGAAGCCACGCCCCCCTCACGTGACAGGAGCACCATCTTGATGTACTTGGTCGTCGCAGCCGGTGGCCATTATGTCCTGGAGAATCCGCAGGGTTCTCTGATAGCCCTACATGAGCGCTATGTGCAGTTTCTACGACGATTACAGGACCTGGGTGTCACAGTGCCTCTGCATTGCACGTGTTAATTGTGAGTCTACAAGCAAGTCTACATGTAGAGTTTAGAGCCGTTAACTGAAGCCTTCTGCTTACCATGTCTCCAGCTAAGACATACAAAGTTTCTATGTGGATGCGCAAGTTCGGAAGCTTCACCTGGAAGCGGACATGGCTGTGGTCTACTTCGGATGAAATCCAGCATCTGGACTTGGGGCGCATGACTCCGGAGGAAAGAGCAACAGATGTTAAAACGGTAACACGTCAGGATAGAAACGGAAAGGCTTGTTGGACTGCCAACGAAAACCTCAAAAGTACGCAGACCCTTGTCTGAAGCTAGAATAACAAGTGGTCCTGAAACCTGTTATTTCGAATGTTTCTTACTATGTACCTCAAGCAACCCTCGTCCCTGCCCAGACAAAACAAAAGCCTCGTCCCAGGGAATACCCATTTCCTTATGCTCGGCACTTCGTGCAGCTGCTGCCCCGGATGTTTGGTGCCAGTGCTGTGAAGTTCGAGGCAACCCAGCTGCAAAGAGGGCTTAATTGGGTGTGGCTGCTAGCCTTATATATATATATATATGCAAGCAGGGTTCTATACTCTTGGGACAAACTAGACCCTGCATGTGTCTATGTAAAGCCTCGAAGCTACATATATGTCTGATATAGGGAGCACTGTTATTGAAACCGTGTTGTCAATAATGCTTCCAGAAGGGACCTCGAAGCCGAAGCAGCTTTTCTGTTCAGCGTCCCGACATTGATTTGCAGTGCTGGCCCCTGCGGAAGGCAAAACATACTAAGGCTTAAGGTAGAGCAATTACTTGATTTATAAGAAGAATTACCATAACCGGTTTATGTTTCTATTCCTAAGCTCACTTATATGTTGCCCAGTTCTTGCTCGGCCAAGAGTAACAAACCTGCTCCCAAACACAAACTCGAAGCTGCTACAAGTATAATGCATTTAATGCTTTACATAGCTGGACCCCGTGCAAAGACTAACCCCAGATAGAAACCCCAGATACAAAGCCCGCGTACAATCATGCCAGGTTCGATCTATATCTATCTAGATATATATTTAGTCCTTATACAACTACCCCTTAAAATCTATATATATATATATATATATCTATATGTGTGTGTCTTCCTACTATGTATATATATATATATATGCAGACCCCCTATTATATATATATATATATACACAAGCCATATATATATATATATGTATATACACATGTAGGACCTCATATATGAGAACCCCTATATACATATATTTAATAATGCTTCAGATCCTGTAGCCTACCTATAAAAGGAGTCCACCCCAAAAGTCTCCTACAATCTGTGCTGCCTGCACATTGTGGCCCTTCGGGACAGCAACTCTAGTCTTGTTCGCAATAACTCTTGAACAGGTGTGTTTAGTGATGCGGGGCCAGGGAAATCTAGAGGGCTACTGATTGGTGTCAATCTACTCGGGCTTCGACAACCGAAGTTGAATGTCCTATACTTATATGTGTATATATATATATATTTCTGTATATCCATATAGGCCCTCGTCAGCTTATGGGGAGCAGCTGTTATTAATGTCTGCTTTCTACATACCCTTGCCTGTGTTTATGTGTATGTATATAGGGGACAATGGCCCCAGTAGTGTCCATGTCGCCAATAGCCGTCTCTGGGATCTGTTCCACATTGCCGGGTGAATTGTCCGATGAGGGCCCGTATCAGTCTTCCCTGAGCCAAAGTTGCCCTATCGAAGCGTCAGGGATCGCTTGTGAACGATGTCCTCCACGTCCTGCTCCGTCACTGAAAGCCGTATATCAGGCCCCAGGTGTGCTGTCACCTCGTGCAAGAGCATGAAGCCCTCGATCCCAATAATGGCTGAGCCCAGCCACAGGCACTTCTTCCAGTGTCTTCAACACTTTAAGGGTTAATTACGCGGGTCTATAGATTTGGGAACCTTCTGCACCCTTAAATAAATGTTTACAGGGGGAAGCTGGGAGCTATTCCTTACATGTAATGATACATACTAATGGCTTAATGTCCTAATTGCTAGCAACGGCTTTTAGGCAGAACTCCCTGAGAAAAAGCATCCACAAGAAAGTGGATACATGTTCCGGGAACCAGAATCCAGAGAAAGTTATACATGTGTGTCTGTGTATCATGAATTCACCCACCTATCTCAGGTTTCCGACAAGCCCTTGATTTCCCTGTGGAACGAGAAGGAGTTCGACTGGGGTGACTTGTGGCATGATTGTGATCTACCAGATGTACTGCGCTATGCTCGGGGTTCTAAGAAGCTACGTATTCCGAGTGAGTGGAAGCCGCACCTGCCCAGCCACTTGTAGTTACGAAGGCCTGAGCTAGTGGACTGATATATAATGTCTTCAGTATAGAGAAGTAAGTCAAGCAACTAAGTAAACCCTAAAATTTCTCTTGGTATGGTACAAGATCCCTGGCAACCTCTTAAACCAAAACATATATTTCTCATTACCAATGGCCGCCGGGTTGTGCTATTAGCATCATGCAGCCATAAAACGACTATCATCAGCTTCCCCTTCCTGGTGGGCGCCATTAGAACCAAAGTCTATAGCTAAATAAACCCATGTATATATATATATATATGTATGTATGTATATATAAGCCCAGGCATACATATATATATATATATACACCTATAAAACCCAGTATAAACCCTATCAACCCTATAAACCCATCTATCCCTGTACATCTGTATATATCTATATAGTATACAAACCCTAGAATATAAAAACCCTATAGAAAGAAACATGGATCAGAGGGTTGGGCTTATAGTACCTCCTTGACTTCAAAGGCGAGCTAGGGCCTCGGGAGAAAATATTTACAGTTGGTTTGGATGCTTCTTGCTTTTTTGGGATCAGGTCATGTACAGGTTCAAGTAAGTGTTTGACTCCTTTGCAATTAAGAGGACTTCTGCGGAGTGTACATATATAGGTGTATACTAGTTAAAGGGCATGGGGCTTAACGAAAGGAGTCTGTTTCGGGACGTATTAAGAGGACTTCTGTGGAGTGTGCGTAGGTGTATACTAGTTAAAGGGCATGGGGCTTAACCAAAGGAGTCTGACTCGGGACGTAGGTAAGCCATATATGAATTAAGAACCGCAACCCG